GCCATCTGCTCGGCGCTAATCATGAATGACTCGTATGATTGTCCCGTGCTGGATTCGGTACCATCGGAAGCCATCGCTGAGCAATCATCTGAGCAAACATCCGACGTTTCCTCTTCTGAAGGAAGTCCCTTTTTCATTCTTTGGTAATTCTTTTGTCTGATGGTTCCTGATCGCAATCGGGTCATACGTCGGGAAACTGCAGCAAACCGATCCGGGCTAAAGTTCCGCGTTGACTTTCCTCTCCTGGTCATGTTGACGGACACTTTTGGAAATTCATTGTCTCGGAAGACAGGTTTCCTTCTATGGAAATGCCTTGGTTTAGCCTTGGACATTCTGGTGGAGATTCTCTCAAACACCGAAACTCTTCGTGGGGCTTTAGAACAGCAGCATTTTGATAATACCGCATTGATTATATTGGCACACGGACAGTGAGAATCCGTGTCTTAAATATTTCTCTTTCGGGACTTATTTGTACCCCCAGCCCTATAGTACAACTCGTCTGTTTGATGACTGGAGCAACCCATAGAGTGTTGGCACGACCTCCCAGGTATAACATCATCATTGGACAAATATGTTTTCCTCTGGGGATACGACGCTTTATTGACGTCCCCAAGAGTCACTCGTTCAGATTTACGCTTTTGTGAGCGTGAAACTCTAACGGGCTCTCGAACTTTAACTCGCAATCCAATGCGGTCGGTAACAGGAGTCTTCCCTTTATTATTATTCTTGGGGTGATTGGTACAACCCCCAGTCTGAATTGTCGTTTGGGAACCTTTCGATGATCTCAATCGCTCTTTTACGGGTGCTTTACCTCGATCTTCAGGTAGAGGACCGAGGCGATCTCTCAAAGGAACTCTGGATTTGGTGAGATCCACGCTACCACACGGCTCCATCGGAGGTGAGGGGACAAGAGAAATGGGATCTGAAGTTGACGAAGGCCGGATGGTGACTTCGTTCACTTTTGCATTAGACATTGGTTTTGCCTTCGGCACCCACACCTGTTTGCGCTTGGGCGACTTATCAACTGTCTCTTCTTTCTGCATCTCTTCCGCTTTCTGCAGAAGGACTCGAGCATGCGCTAGCAATGCGCGACGCTTCTTGATTCACTCCTCAAGGGTGGAGCGGGTCCTCTTGACATGAACCCATTCGTTCGTTTCTGTCTTGGAGGAGGGGTTGGTGACTCACCGTTGTTGTTCTCGGCGCTGCCTAGATTTCAGATCCTCATTATAGCGGATCCCGTTCATCGACTCCGAAGCCTTGGCCAATTGTCACGCAAGGCATTGACGCCGTCTTTGGCGCGCCCTCTTCGACAAAGTTAGAGCGCCTTCATCAGTTATCTTCATGGCGGAGGAGAAGTTCGGATCTACAGCTTCGACCTCTTTGGACGTCGTAGGGGTGTCGCAGGGCGTGAGTGCAGCGACGGCGAGGGGATCCTTGACCTTCAAGCTTGAAGTCCCGCGAGTACTTCTGGAAGAGGAGACCTTCCTGCGCCTGCTTGGAGAGGCGGATCTGGGTGAGGAGGAAGAGAGGTACTCTTCAAACTTTTGTTGATCGAATTCATATTCGATCTCTTCATTCACCCGGATCTTGATTGCCGATTGCGTCACGACAGCCTCGGCAGTGAGGCTGTTGGCTCCCACTGTGGTCGCCAGTTTGTTTTTACTGAAAGTTACCTTCATTGCTAAATTCATTATAATTTTAATTACTTACAAAGAATTCAAATACTCAACAAAAGAAAGAAATAAAAGGTTACAACTCTCTCGAAAATAACGCAAGATCCGTTCGTCGTCTCTTGCTTGCGTGGGTTTTTGGCCGGTGACGGGGATGTCGATATCCATGGACTATCTAACAATCAGATCAGATCTAATACTCCGTCGATTCGCAAAGGAATCTAGAAGCAGAAGCGCTTATCTCGGCAACGACGAGATAATTGCTCTTCTTAAGATTATCACAATGGGATAATCCTAAGGAACGGACACGGGCGATGTAGATCTGAAGAAGCTTTCTCTCCTGTTCTGAAGAACTCAATCAATCTTCAGTCCGGCAGGGCTTCACCTATTCTCCAAAATTCCAGATCCGAAAAAATGAGGGTCCTGGGGCTGTATTTATAGGCTCCAAGGAAGTTTGGGCGAATAAAACCGCATAATGGTCGATTTTTAAGGCCGGAGACACCCTTGGGTGTCTCGGCCTTAGCCGAGACACCTTGGGGTGTCTCGGTTGGGCCGAGACACCTCGGGGTGTCTCAACTCAGGCTGAGACGCTTCGTTATGCATACTTGTTCGTTTTCGCCGTAACTTCTTCATCCGAACTCGGATTTGAGTGATTCAAAGTACGTTGGAAAGCCGGCGAGGAGTTCTATACTCTCCGATGATTAGATCATTGTGGATTAAGCTAGAATAAGAACGGAGTTTCACCTTTTGTAAGCGACGCGGGGCTCCTGATTAGTTCGTGTCTTCGTTATTCTGAAACTCCGTACTTCACGTAGTTCGTCGATTCACTTTAAGTGTTCGTCGATATCAATCAAGCTTCTATAATTTGGATAGTGACGTTCATCATCTTCTCTTAGCTTTGAGTTGCTCGTGAAGACCAATAGGCAATTTTCAATGCCTACAACAACCAATCGGTAACCATCACAACCAATCCCTAAGGTTAATAATCAATCTGTAACTTTCACAACTAATCACTAATGTTATCAACCAAACACTAACCTTAACAACCAATCCTTAAGGTTATCAACCAAACTCTAATCTTAACAACCAAACTATGACATTAACAACCAATCTATAGTCATAACCAACCATATGTGAAAAAGATACAGTTTCATAAAACTTACGATCCCTTTTGTTCCTCGCATGGAACTTTGACTGGATTAATATGTTGTATAATTTTTCTCTCGTCGAAGCTAGCTTTAATGTAGTTGAAGGCTTTAACGATGTTGAGTACTGGTTCCTAATGTCCACATCGATCTTTCAATGAGTCATAGTGTTTAACAACATTAACAACCAAGAGATAACATTAACAATAAATTTTACTCAGTAACAGCTATAATGCTTACCCATCCTTGAAGAATGTTATCATCTTCTGATCCCCTTTTATTTTTCATTTTGGGGAAACAATGTCTTGGGTTACGTGCCCTACCGGTGTCTCTCTTCTCTTTTTCCTTATTCGTCTCCCTCTCTCTCTCTCTTTCTTCTTCTCTTCCTCTTTCTTCTTCCCCTACAAACATCTACCTGGTTCTCTAAAAACCTTCTCCAGTCTTTGAATTTGGCCCTGTAATTGTGGAAGCTTTATAGTAGCTTGCTGAGCTTTAACTACAATTGTGGATAATATTAGGGATCCCCTAACTTCTCCTAGTCTCACCCAATTTGTGAGGGAAAGCATTGACATACTTACTAATACCGGCTTCTTGATACCAATAAGTTTATAGTACCAAAACTGCACATGAGAGAAATAGAAGATTAACGAACAGTCTACAAGCTTAACAATAAAATCATAACCATAATAACAAATCCATAATCTTAACAACCAAACTGTAACATTAACAATAAATCTGTAAACTTAACAACCATTCTACAACCTTAACAACCAACCGGTAATGTTAACAACCAATCAGCAACCTTAACAAATGATCTGTCACCTTAACAACAAACTCGTAACCTTAACAACAAACTTGTAACCTTAACAACTTATCTACAATGTTAACAACCAATTTGTATAATAACAAATAATCTCTAACCCTAATAACTACCAACTATACTTAAGAACAAATCCCTAACCTTCACAATCAAGAATGCATAAATTCTAGTCATTGCTCTAAACAATAAAAAAATAAGAATACTTACATACACAAGCTAGGTACACCTTTGCAGATATTTAATCTTTTTTCTGCTCTACCCTTCAGTGCCTTTCCAATTATATCATTTGTCTTATTGAAGATATAGCTCCCCCCCCCAACAGTTTACTTTACTTGTTCAATGCTGTCAACATACTTGAACAAATGCTTGGTATGCTAGGAACACACTTCTTGGACACCAGATCATGCTCAGCTAATAGAGAATCTATAGTAGGAAAAAGTCTATTATATCTTCACAGTAAGTTGATCGTACAAGATTTATGAGTAGATCCTCAATATGGCATCTGTTGGGTGCTGGAGGAGCCCTATTGTTGTTACCCTCAATTTTGGAAAAAAAAACCACAACCAATTTTGATTTTTTTTTAATCTTGGTTAGGGCCAACAAAACCCCCCTCATTAGAGAACCATGTATGGCTCATAACCTATTCAAGGTTGAATGAGCACTCGATGTTATCTCTAGTTTTGATATTACTGAAGATAAACTTCATCTTATTCTTGTCCGACTATCTCAACACGTGCTCGAAAGTCAGAAGATCAAGACCAGGAGGGCCAAAATGAACGTAGTGTCTGAATATATTATCTTTGTAGGCATCCCTATGCCTTTGGCCTATATGTTGTACTAAAGAATGCATGAATTCATAGTAAGCAGTGAAGTTAGATGTAGGCCATAACTCTGATACAACCTTTTGTCTATAAAGCAAAACAACAAGATATACGTCAACAATAACATTCACAGCATATTCATAATATTAACAACTAACACTTAACATTAACAACTAACATGCCACACATTAACAGTAACCTTAACAACTAACATGTCACGTTAACAGTAACCTTAACAACTAACAAAGTGAACAGTATCCTTCACAACAGATTCATAACCCTAACAACTAACGCAGAATCTTAACAATTAATGAATGTCCTTGACAACTAAAAGCTAACATTCACAACTTAATTGTAACCTTCACAATTAACACAACATGCAACATCATAAACAACTAAATTATGCAGTAAACTCACCTCTTTTTGGTTGTCAAATACATCTCTTCCAAATCGCCCATATTCATTCCTCACTTTAATCTAGGAGCGCTCTCGAGGCGTCGTCGTTGCTGCCCTCTACATCAGTGTGTTGGACTGGGTTTGTGGGTTAAACTGGAATTGTGGGAGGAGGATGACTAGCTGTTATGTCCTTTAGAACATCAGTAATTGATGTGATAGCTTCAGTCCATTTTGTGCTCGAAGGTCTTCTTTCGATGACGTACTGTGACTTGTTGTAGTCTTCAATGATATCTACAAAGGCAACCACTTTGGGAGCTAACTTGTCGGCCATGATTCTGATCAGAGTGTAGGATGACAAGATTACAAGTGATTAGGTTAGATTTCACTTTGGGTTGTATTGATTTAGGGTTAGGGTTTTGAATTGGAGGGTCAGTTTGCTTGGATAGAAGAGAGAGGCTGGCTAGCTCGACAAGGAGTGATTTTGAGAAGTGGGAGGCGATTAAATCAAAGGGCTTTTTGGAGATTTTGTTTAAAACATCGAGTCATGTGGGAACAGACTTTGGGGGTGAAAGGAATTATGATTTTGCTTCTGAGAGTGAAAAAGTCTTGGGAGAAAATAATATTTATTGTTATTTTGACGACTAGAAGTAATTTTTCCTCTATAGAATTGCCCTCATCACCTTCATGGACACATGCTTACGTAACAAAAGCACATAAAATAATTCTTGATTTGTGACAGAATCAGAATGGCACATATCATTTTTGGCACTCGCTCCAACGTTCCAATAGACTTTTGGTGTATGCCAGTAGGAATCATGTTCCAGTTAATGAAATTCTACATACCACATCAGAAAATAAATGCGTGAATTAGCATTCTCTTCACCAATTTTTCAAATAAAACTGTGATTAAGAAAGTTAATCTTGGATGATTATTCTCAAGAAATGGGAATAAGCACCGTGAGCCATCAAAACTGATAATCGTTAAGAAGCTAAACTCAGTCACACGTTGAGAAAGTTAAACCACTATCAGTCTCTAGCTACAAAAGATTCAAGAAAACCTTGATGATATTGGCCGATCAATAGAAAGGGGAACCGGAAGAAGAAAGATGGGTATCGAGGAAGATGATGAGGAGAAATAAAGGTTGAAGATGAAAAATAGATATGCAGAATAATCGCTTAATTTGGAGGGAAATGAATTCAGATTTCCTCCCAAAAATATCTACAACTTCCTATATATACAGGTACAATAAGATATGTTTATCAAAGATTTAGCAATAAGTACATTGTTTTCTTATAAAGAGGCGGGGGTAATTTGGGGTTATTTCAAATTATAGTATAAGATAAGTATAATATGGTATGGACAAGGATAAGCCAACTAAAAATCACTCAAATGACCAAATGACATAACAAGAAATTAAAACGCCCATAATGCGTCCTAAAAGATGTATTCGGAATGTCTTCTTTCATAAAATAATTGCAAGTTATATTTATCTATTGAAAATGTTGCTAATAAATGTAATAAATTTAAAGACAGATTTCCGATCACATTGAAAACATAAGGTAATACTTGATTTACAATCTACTTTACACAAAATAACAACACATCATAAGGTTAGGAGAAATAAATATTTTAAAATGTAATTATTTATTTTATAATTTTCTAATCCCTGTTTCACTATTCTAGTCTAGTTAACTATGTTGGGGATGCACAACCCCCCTGATGCGATTTGGAAATAGAGATTTAGGAGAGAAGAGAGAAAATCAAACAATCTCAAACACACAAGATTTACGTGGTTCGCTTCTCAATGTGAGAAACTACGTCCACGGCCGCCGTAGGAGAAAAATTCACTAATTTTCGTCTCTTTACATCATGCCCTAATCAACCCATTTATAGACTTAAGGGTTTAACAAGTAAACAAGGAAACAGATCAAATCAGGTTAAAAAACGAATCTGGGCCAAAACCCGACTCCGGTCGACCGCAGCACCACGTGCGGTCGACCGCGACGAATCCTATTCCTGATCGAGCTCTCTGGACTTTGGGCGGTCGACCGCAGCGCCATGTGCGGTCGACCGCGACGAAGACAAAACTCTGGACTGCTCTCTGGACTTTGAGCGGTCGACCGTAGCGCCACATGCGGTCGACCGCGATGAGCTCCTGGCCTGTGCACCCAGCTGTCGTCATGGCCGTCGACCGCAAAGCTGCCAAATCTCTCCTTCGTCGTTTTGCTTGAACTTCTCCATCGTCGATCCTGTTCCTCCTGTTCCAACTTTGTTCCTCCTCTCTTCTGAAGTATAGGGCATGCTTGATAGTTAGCAACTTTGTTCCTCCTCTCTTCTGAAGTATAGGGCATGCTTGATAGTTAGGCTTCACATATCCTAACAAACTAAACAAAGTGTAACTCGTAGTAATGAAAACTTAAGGAGTGAAGAATAGCGATCAGATTTGAGTTGATTGTAACTATATATCTCTAAAATGTATGAAATTAATGTGTAATGACTAGTGCTATACCTGCCCCAAGTTGCAGGAATTATATAGATGTTTAAGCCAACAAAAGAATCTATATATTCCATAAAGTTGGGAAATAACAAAGAAATTCTTTATTTATCACATTGCAAATCTCTTCAATCTTTAAATTAAAATTTTAAAAAATTAGATCTAAATTAAATTTAGTTAAATCCCAAATGCCTTGAATAAAAGGAATCTGAAAATAATATACAATAATCTTACCTGTAACCTGTATTATTGTTTCGCATATAATCTCTATAATATCCCTTGAAATTCCAAGTTCCCTATGCAAGAAAAAAGAAAAGAATTAGCTGATAGAATGACAAACAATATGTCTAAAAACTTTTTCCCCTTCAAACAAAAGAATTAGATAATAGAATGACAATCTGTCTCAAACTTTTTTTCCTTCAGAATATAATTCTTGTATCAAATAAAATTATTTGAAAGCTAAGAGCTTCATTTTAAGCATATAGTCCCACCAAACAAACTCTACAGTATGCTTTATCTAATATATTTTTTCATATGAAATCGAATGAAAAATACATACCAAAAACTTGGATTTTCTTTGTCCTTCTTCTTGAGAGTACAAAACTCTTACATACATTCACTCTCTGTCGCATTGTCACAGTTTACTTCACCAGAAATCGTGCTCAAATATTTTCCTACGTAACTATGATGATACAGTTTGTTCTGTATATCTTCATTTTTGTCTCCAATAGAAGCTCAAAAATCTCTTCTATAGCATTTGTAACGGTTCATTTAATTCTAATATAGTATTAAATTAATAGATTGAGTAATTATATGCATTTAGAGGGGAGCAAGTAAATTATGGGAAAAATAATGCTAGAGGCACACCATGAACCACACTCTCAACCACACCCCAACACTCTCTATAGTGCAAGTGGGCCATGCATGATATTTTTTTAGAAATATCATGCATGGCCCACTTGCACTATAGAGAGTGTTGGGGTGTGGTTGAGAATGTGGTTCATGGTGTGCCCCTAGTGAGACTCTTATGGGAAGGTGAAAAGCCAAAGCTCTACGAAGATGCCAAGTGGCAATTTAGGGCCTTCTGTAGTGTATATATATATAGTATATAAAATATAGTATATAAATAGATAGATAGATTGTGAGATGGATGAGTTTTATTAATAGAAATTGGAAAACTGTTGTGTATTACAGAGAAAAAAATTTGGTTTCGTAAGTAGTTAATATGGGAGCTATAAATGAACTCATGGAGTCGGGTAGTAATGAACATTAAAGACGGGCCGCCATTTTTCATGTCCCTGCTCTCTTTTTCGTAAGATTTTTCATGGGCTGGTTAGGGAGCCCACGTATTTTGTTGATAGCCCCCTTGAATATGGGACAGATTTTAGTTTTCAACTTTGTATTGGCCCATCCATTGTTTCTAATCATGGGATTGTTGCTTCAATTAATTTTTTTTACGGCATTACCTATCAATTGTGAATGGGAATTAAAAAGTTTGGGCAATCAAAATTATTGTTATAGTAAACAATATAATTACAAGCATTATGCACGTGCTTGCACCATGGGTCTGGTATTTTTTATATATTTTTTGTCTCTATAAGTTTTATTTTTATTATGAGCTTGCTTCTAAAAATTGAATTTATATTGAATTTTTTTCTGTAGACTACTGCTCATTCTCCAAAACATATAACTTGAGTTCGAGTATTTCTTATAAAGAAAGTACAGTATAAGGGCATAGATGATTTTTATTTCAGAATTTAAAATTCAAAGTAGATGGTTTAACCACCAATCGTTCCTTCATAATATCCTCCTTTTTGTAATATTCTAAAAGTAAAAAAAGAAAAGAAAATTCTACCTCGTCGAATAAATTTGGATAGTCTTATTTTAAAATTTCAAATTCAAAATTAGGGAGGGACTTGTGGTATTTTTAGAGATAAGGTTTTATATACGTACAATGCACGTGGTTAAATATCATGATTAAATATATTTAGTTTATTTCCTTACTAAAATTTATTCCTCTATTCTATTTTAATATTTTTTGTTCACTTATTTCTCTAAATTGCATTGTGATTATTTATTTTATTTTGATGCCCGTTTAAATGAGATACACTCAGTTTAAATTTTCTTATTGATAATTAAATTAATAGGAAACAAATATAACCCGACCAATTTGAATTATCATCTTATTTGGACCAACTTAAAAACCAAGCTTGACCTGAGAAATTATAGTGTTGCAAAAGTGAAAAACATTTTTAAAAATAGCGATATAAAAGGAAGATAAATAATTAAATCTAATAAGACAAGATGGTTGCTTAAAAGTGGGATAAAACGATACAAAAAAAGAGTATAGAGTTTGTTCGTAATCCTTGATAGACTTTACAAAAATCATAAACTAAAAACTAATACTAACTCTAGCATACTTTTATATGACGAAAGCATCTTCATAAGCATATAAAAGAACTAAAATTTTCTCATAAAAATCTCTTCTAAAGATTTCTAATTTACTCAAAAAAATAAATATTTCTATAAAATATTCAGAAATAGTGTCTTTTATTCCTTCTATTTTATTTTTTATTGAGCCAACATTAATCCTTTTATAACTTTACCTTTTTTGATAAAATTGGACTATTTTTAGATGTTGAAAAAGGATATTAAACCTTAAATTGGAATTTATATTTACTAGTATAATGCACGTGCTTTGCACGTGGATATGTTGTTATATTTAATATTATATTATTTAATAAAGTATATATAACCATTAAAAATTATTTTATTGCACTATGATTAAATTTTTTTAACTTATACTAATATTAGTACTTATAATATTATTAACATACATTTATAGTTATTTAAATTTTTTATTATACTATTAAACAATTATTTAGGAGTATAATTATTAAATAATAATGTAATCATTAGTTTAAGTAACACTATTGATATAATTAAACCATTTAAATTATTAAATATTTATGTCATGTATATATTTTATTACAATATCTATTAAATAATGGAAATAATTTTTAATATTATATGACATTATGTTGTAAAGAATATTACATTGTTTAATAATTAATATCATCTTAGTAATAAAAAATTGGATGGTATAAATTAAAAATACTATTATTTAGAAAAATAATTTATATAAAAATATTGGATCCTTGAAATATATGAGACATTTACTATTAAATTATAATATATTTATTAATTTTATTATCATTATAAATTATTAGAATATTCTAGCGAGTGGCCAAATATTTTGAAGAAAAGAAGAGAAAAATATATGTCTCATAAATTTAAAGAATCAAAATTTTTATATACATTAATTTTCTAAAATAAAAGTATTTTTAACTTATAAAATCCAAAATTTTATTACTAAGATGATATTAATTATCGAACAAGGTAATATTCTTTACAACATAAATAAATAACCCATATTTATACTATTATTAATAGTTATAACTATGTACAATAATTTATTAAATGAATGGATTTTACTATTTTATATAATTAATAATTATTTATAATAAATTATCATATATTCATGAATTTTGTTATCATTATAAATTATTAATATATTCTAGTGAATAACAAAATAATTTGAGAAAATGAAAAGGTGCATAGTTAATGAGAGGTTATGGATCATTAGTTTTATAATTAATGGTATAATTTTGAGTTATAAAAAATTGAGGGGGTAAAAAAGGAAATCAAAAGTTTTGACATTGGTATTCTCTTTTATAAGTAGTATAGATATATCTTAACGAAAAAATGTCAACATATATTTTGTAACTCTAAAATTTTGCGTGTTTTTTGCAATTATTTAAAATTTTGATTGTTTGTTATAAAATTTAAGGTTTTAGCAGTCTGCTGATAATTTTAAAGATATGTACTAGTTACAAGTTTTAAAGTTTTAGGGTTTTTTATGATTTTTAATTTTTGAAAGAGTTTTTTATAATTTTTATAACTTTGAGGTTGTTTTTTATAAATATTAAATTTTCTAGTACCTAAAGGTAATCCTTTGAATTCATCTTTTGTCTTTGTAAGTTTTGAAATTTTAGAATTTCAGGGTGCTTTTTTATTATTTAAACTTTTGGAGGTGTTTCTATAATTTTTGAAATGTAGAGGGTGTTAATTATAACTTTTAAATTCATCGGATGCTACTGTTAATTTCTAGATTTCATGTTTGTTGTTTTTAGTTTTTGAAACGTCGGGATGCTTTGTGTAATTTTTAAATTTTAAGGGTATTTTATGTAATTTTTAAAAGTTTTTTGTTTTTTGATAATATTGCATAGATTATAGCATGTTAGTTCTTTACCTTAACAAACTAATATCGTGGAGTTGTTTCATGTATTTTATTGATCTTCTTTTTTAAATGTTGAGCTGTAGTAAGTTCACATGGAATTAGGATATGTTATAATTATGATTAGGATAGATTAATATTTAAATAAAATATTAAAAATAGTAAAGAGTAATATTGATCATGGAAAGTTTTTTCCTTAACTCTTGTTAGACCCTAAGGCCGCTAGGAAAGAACCCTAGAGGGGGGGGGGGGGATTTATGCTAATCTAATCCGATTTTATGCCAATTAAAACTAATTAACAAATATATCCTAGTAAGTATGATATGCTACAAGATATGTGCAAGAATATACAATATAAACAAGGGTAAACAAAATGACCATGCAACAATGGCGATATAACAATATGCAAGAATAAATGCGCCAATGCCAAACCCAAAACACAAGGAAATGATCATGGAGTTTGGACATTCCGTCCTACGTCTCCGCTCTCCACTCCCGGGGAGAATCCACTACACAACCTGGTTTGAAAGCCGGAACTTCTCTACACACTCGGTTTTCTAGCTAACCGAATACTCTACACATTCGGTTATCAAGTCAACCGACAACTCTCACAAATCCTCACAAAGTACATACACAAACTACAACCTCAAGTGTTAGTCCTCACGTATCGACTCCCTCAAGTGCTCGAAATTATCACTTCTCACTAGGTCACCGACGCCACTCCTCTTGGTATCGACTCCGTCCTCACCACACACTCCTCTTGGTGTACAAGTGTATTACAAAGTAAACTTCACAATTTGGCACACAACAAATGATTGTTCTCTAAACAAGGTGAGAACTCAATTAGGCTAAACTTAATGTTACTATCTCTCACAACCCCAAATATATTATGAATGCAAATACAATAAGCTCAAGTGGGTGTGTATAACAATGAGATTAATCAAATCCAAACTCAATATAAAACTAGTTTTAATAAGATGATAATCAAACAAATAAATA